GAATTCCTGACATCTGGGCTAGTGCAGTAGGTAGTTTGGATGGATCCAGTGAAGGCTCCACAAGAGCACTTTGGAAATGTGGGAAAGGCAGGCAGAGCTCAAGCCCTGAGGACCCATGGGCTGAGCTCTCTTCAGAGTGGAATTATCTCTAATATGTATTGCTTATCTGTGGCCAGAATGAAGCAAAACTACAGACAACCATATACTTTTTCCACTGATATCATCCCCTCAGGTTTGTTTTTACCCTATTGTATGGAGCCTGACTCTATTTGTCTTCCCCAACCTTCTCTTGGGATGAGACAGAATGAGCCTCCTGTAAAGGTTCCCAGCATGGTGGAGAAGATGAATGTCAGCCTTCAGCCCTCTTTGTCAATTGTAGACTCTATGAGTCCTGAAGAATTAATTCTTTGTCTGTGTGGTACTGTCTGGGTTTGTTAGAAGAACAATGCAGTCAGGAAGACCTAAATTTACTCTCGGTTTCTAGATGATTATGAGGCCATGCTCATATCATTGTTAATCGGATTTTTGAGAGGTGCAATATAGAGCCAAGGAACTACTCTGCCAATCTGTGGATGACATTTGTTAGTAGTTTTCTTTTAATATACATTGAAGATATATCTGATTTATATATCACCACTACTGTGCAAGGGAGTTATGATTTGAATATATACTACATGTATCAGTGAATTTTCTAATTTTTCACGATTCCTATTACTTATTAGCTGAGAACTTCAGCCTTTGGTTAGGGTACACAGTGAATAAAGGACATAGCAGGTACTGTTCTGTGGTCAGCATGTGTTTAATGACCTTGGACTCAGTCCCATCATTCTACTTCCTGAACAAGTGCCAGGACTTTCTCTGTGCAGTTTCTCAGAGAAATGCAGAGACCTACAATCTCTAAGGAAGAAATGAGATATGAGAGTGCAGAGACATTGGAATTTGCTGTTGTGGGAGGCTGTGAGCACAGGCCTTGCTTTGTCTATGGACAGTATGTGATGTATGATTATTTCAAACCACACTTGGTTACATCAGCAGCCATGATTCCCATGGCCACTGGTGCTTCTCATGACACCAGCATCAAGGTCAAGCACACTTTTTTCTGGGTCTCTTGTGCCTCAGCCCATATAGTCCCTTCACAGATCCCCTCCCATGGGCAATACAGGAAATTGGACAATTAGTGCATGCTGGTTCATTTTCTCACTAGAAGCTTGGACCGTTTCCCCTGGGCACTAATCTTGCTGGTAGATGCACATCTTTCCTACTTTACTGCTGCTTGAAAACGAACAGGAGCATCCAGTAGACCCTTTGGCAGGAAAGCTTCTTCTTGGTTTGAGATCCTCTTCTTTGTGAACAGAAATTGAGGGCTCAGGATGTAACCTTGGACAGAAGATACTTGAACTTGTCAGGGATTATCAAAGATCAGAAGAAGATAAGGAATCATTTCCTGACACTATGTGTATTTGTGTGAGAACATGTATGTTTTCTATGTTTTTGTATTAATACAGTGTATTTAGTAGGGAATTGACTCATAGAGTGACTTTTTATGTAAGAAACACAGATGTAGAGTATAAAGATTTGGAAATCATGTCTTCTTGATTGTATATTTTGTATGAAGGTTGATGCACTGTGTCACTGAATGACTGCATGAGTGTTTCTATGGATATAGTACAGTCGGTGTGTGTGCGTGTGTGTGTGTGAGTGTGTGTGTGTGTGTGTGTGCGTGTGTGTGTGTGAGTGTGTGTGTGTGTGTGTGTGCGTGTGTGTGTGTGAGTGTGTGTGTGTGTGTGTGTGCGTGTGTGTGTGTGAGTGTGTGTGTGTGTGTGTGTGCGTGTGTGTGTGTGAGTGTGTGTGTGTGTGTGTGTGCGTGTGTGTGTGTGAGTGTGTGTGTGTGTGTGTGTGCGTGTGTGTGTGTGAGTGTGTGTGTGTGTGTGTGTGTGTGTGTGTGTGTGCATCGTATGGCTGGATGTGATGTTAATGTGTATTGTGGTGTGTGGCAGTTTTTATCAGCTATTTGTAAGTTCTGTTTCTACCTACTGAGTACAGGTTATAAAAGGAGAATGACATTTGGTCAGAGAGATATATGATTGCTGAAATGTAGCTTGTATGACTCTTGGTCATGCAATTGTTCTTATGCAACACACTTGTATTCTAATCTATAAAAGACTAGGAACTAAAGCTATGGTATGGTATTGTAATATTTGTGTTTGTGTACACACCTACACATTTTACCTTCGGGAACTAAACTCACAGTTACCTTCTCCACTCAGGACTTATCTCCTTTTAGTCAATGCAGCTCCCAAGATGTCCCTCCTTAAGCTATAAAAGTAGCTCTTGGTCCATATGAATTCAAGTCCCCTAAATTCTGCAGGGAGATCTATTCTTTACTAGCTTTCATCAATGCCATATTCCCATTCTTGGTTCGTATCTCTAATTTTGACCCTCCATAGTGTTATGACACTGGGATCAAATCTGTGAAGCTCAGTAGCCCAAACTATAAAATGTAGCACTTAGGATTTATCTAGGCATGTTCTGTGTTATAAATATTCACTTCATTAAGATCCAAGGTGGATTTCTTTGGCAAAATAAAGGAAGCAGACTTATTTGGAGACTATTCATCAAATTCCAGCTGGCGTCCATTCCTCATTCCTGAGTGTGTGCCCAGCTGCCTCTTTCACAGAGTGATTGTAATAAAAGTCATCTTTTTGCTTATCTAGCCATTAAGTTTGACCTCTGACTTCTGGATATTTATTCAAACATGTGTGAGTTGAAAATGTTTGATTTAGTCACTGCCAGTGGGTGGACAGATCTCCCTGGAGGTTTAAGTTGCTGTGCTCTTCCTGATTCCCACTGACTGACAATTGTCTTCTCTGTTCTTAGAGATACCTGTGCCTTGGGGTGGGGGCAATTGCCTAGATTACATTTCCTGCTCTTCTGAATGTGATCTCCAACTGTGATTTAACTCTAACTGGATAAGGTGCCAAGCTGCACTTCAAAAACTGTCATAAGTTCTATTCTTAAGATCAGAATCAAGCAATTACTATAGGCCCTTCAACAGGAGGCTTCAAACTTTTTTCAATACCAGCAGTAACCAAAAACAAACCTTTGAATGTCTGCTTTAGAAACACTTAGTAATGCTGGTGCATGGTGGCATGGGCCTGTAATTCCAGCACTTGGGAAGCAGAAACTTTAGGCTCCCTGGGAGATGGAGGCCAGCCTGGTTCACGTAGTGATTTCCAGGTCACCTGGGACTAGAGACACCCCGTGAAAAAAGAAGCACCATGTAAATTTTTGATGACTATTGGAATTAAATCACATAAGTGCTGCAAATTTAGTGTCTGATATGAATTAGTGAGTGTATATTCGGGTTTTCCCAGGGAAGGCTTGATGGAGACCAGTTGTTCAGACATATTCATTACGTAGTTTCATCTTCGTCTCTGAAAGTGTCCAGCTTTGAAAGTACACAGTAACTACAGGATCATCTCATGCTGGTCACATGGTGTAACTTTGAAAAACTGAAATTGTTTCAGTCTTAGCTGAGAACTAACTTCTTCCCTTTCTCTCTTCATATATATATATATATATATCTTCATCTCTCTCCTCTTCCTTTCATTTTTTGAAGTAATACCTCTTTATGTGACTTAGGCTGGCCCAGAACTAGATATGTGGCTGATAGTAGCTCAAGCGCATGATCCTCCTGCTTTGGTTTCCTTAAGTACTGGGATTGCAGGTTTGCAACACTGAGCCCATCCTGGATTTCCTAATGAATGAAGGTGTAGGACCAGTGGAATGGTGATGAGTAGGTCATCTGATCATACTGACAAGTTTGGAAATGTGACTACATCAGGTACCACTGCAGTGATTGGGATATTTAACACCCCAGAGAATTAGTATTCTCATGCCTACATTTATCAATATAACATTAATTGCTTCTGTCCTAGTAAGAACTCACTCAGCACCAATTATGATTAAGATTGCAATAAATTAGATGACTATGTATCTATTATGAGTTGAATACTCAAAATCTCAAAGTACAGTAAAGTTCGTGGGATTCTGGCATGGAAGTTTCTAGGGTCTGTTACTATAAATGAATCCTTGTATTGGTAAAGAGGGAGAGAAGAAGTGTAGAGAGTGGAGAGTAATAAGGGAAGAAGGAAGGAGATAGGAAGAGAGGAAGAGAGAGAGGAGGGGATAGGAAGAGGGCAGGAAGAATGGAGTGGAGGGGGATAGTGAGGTGGAATGAAAAGATCAAGCTTCTATGTCGTTGCTGCTGTTAGGGATTTAATCCCCATCACCATGGTCTAGATTCTGAGCCCCTACATCTGCTGGGACTGTGAAACTCCAGGAGGTTAGTGATTTTTTTTAAATGTCAGAACTGGGTATGGCTAATAACACCTCAATCTTCTGTTTTTCTGAGTTCCTGGAATTTGATAATGGAATTTTCTCCTCAATTTGTCCTACTGTAGTAACGACCATGGCTGAATATGGTCACGTTTAAAGATCTGCTCTGAGATCATTATTTGCGTTAACCTAGATTTCCAACAAATTTATATAACTAGGTAACATTGTTATGCTTTATAGAAGGAACTCATGTAGACGGGGAAAGCGGCCCATGGAAACTGAAGAAGTTAATCTTAGAATCAAGGCTCATCTTAAGTCTCCTGGTGTGAAGCCTGTACTTCTTGCTCAATATTCTATGAAATGATTAGAGAATGTGTGCTCCAACTGGGAATTTTATGATCTGTTGTTTCCAATGCTGAAAACACTGTTGAAAAGATATATGAATAAGTGAACAAACTTGCATTCTTTCTTAAAGGCCACTTGTTAGCATTGGAAATGTCTTCTCTCTGCTTAGGATGATTCCAATCAGATTCAGACTATAAAGTGTGGAGTTTGTCTGAATTTGGACGCAGTCTCCTGGAAAAAAGCATATAATGTCTGCCTGGTGAGGATCTCAGGTTTCTAATATTTTCTTCTCCTTCATTCACAACAGGAAGAGGACCATGAGGAGGGGGAACCAGAGCAGTGTGTCTGAGTTCATCCTCCTGGGGCTCCCCATCCAGCCAGAGCAGCAGGGCATCTTCTTCACCCTGTTCCTGGCCGTGTACCTGACCACGGTGCTGGGGAACCTGCTCATCATCCTGCTCATCATGCTGGACTCTCGCCTCCACACCCCCATGTACTTCTTCCTGTGCCACCTGGCCTTCTCTGACATCTCCTTATCATCTGTCACCATCCCAAAGATGCTCAACAACATGCAGACTCAGCACTTGTCCATCCCTTATGAGGGGTGCATCTCTCAAATGTACTTTTTCTTGCTTTTTGTAGCTGTTGACAACTTCCTTTTTGGAGTGATGGCATATGACAGGTATGTGGCCATTTGCCACCCACTGCACTACATGGTTATCATGAGAAAGGAGCTGTGTGACTTATTGGTGGCTGGATCTTGGTTCCTCTCTTGTATGAGTGGCCTGTTGCATACCCTGCTCCTGTCCCGCCTGTCGTTCTGTGCTGACAACACTATCCCCCACTTTTTCTGTGATCTCAATGAACTTCTGAAGTTGTCTTCATCAGATACCTCTCTCAATGAGCTAGTCATCTTCACTGAGGGTGGAGTTTTGACTCTCTTGTCATTGGGTACTATTGTGGGCTCCTACATATGTATCAGTTTTACTGTCCTAAAGGTCCCCTCCATGAAGAAATTCTGCAAAGTTATGTCCACCTGTGGCTCACACCTCTCCTTGGTGTTTTTGTATTATGGGACTCCTGCAACAATTTATTTCTTTACTTCCTCAAATAATTCCCATGTTAAGGATATAATTGCTTCAGTAATATTTACAGAGGTTGCACCCATGTTAAACCCCTTCATCTATAGCCTGAGGAACAAGGACATGAAATTGGCTCTGGGAATACTTTGTAGAAGAGTTGTTTGAGCCAAGTGAGAATTATGTGCTCATGTTCTTACTTATCCTAGAGATGCTTCCAGAGATGCTCCCTTAAAATTGTATAGGTGAATAGAGTAAATTGCAAAAATGACCACACTAGTCTGTGCTTTTCAATTTTGGTGTTTATTTCCCCACTCCTTGAATATGTGCAGATTTTGTGACTTGATTCTTAGTTTTGGTGGAAATGTTTATGAGATTTGCATGCTTAGAAGGACTTCATCCCTGCTGTATTTGTAATTATGAAATCACCATATAGGTTACCTTATAAGTTAATCTAAGATAGTCTGAATGAAGAGGGAAGGCTATAAGAAGTGCAGAAAGGATGCTCCAGCTAGCACTTCACCAGCAAAAGTGGACATAAAAAGGGAGTTTATGGCATTGATGAGTCCTAGTTGAGATGATCTGAGTTGAGCCAAGTCTAGACGTGCCATCCATCTTAATGTGGTTCCAGGCAAAATTGCCAGACTGTAGAATTACTACATGAGCTACCATTTAAATCACTGTGTGTTGGGATTACTGTTTGTCATAAGCTAACTCATGCAGTGACTTCCTGTCACTGATAAGCTCAAAACATTTCCTTACTCTGTCTTCCCTCCTCCTTTTTTGATCCTCTGATTTAATTGTCTTCCTTCCCTGTCTTCTAGATCTTGCTGACTTAAAGACATAGAAGGTCATATGCAATTTCCCATGATCTTAGCCTTAGCCATTTCTACTACATCAATGTATTACACCCTACCCTTTCTAGTCAAGTGTAAAAATAATATTTTTAATTTAAAAAAACTTGATTATTTTTATTTTTTATGTGTATGAGTGTACTGCCTGTATGTATGTGAGTGTACCCGTGTTGTGCAATGCTGCAGAGGTCAGAAGAGGGCTTCAGATTCCCCGGGACCTGGAGTTGAGGATGATTTGCAGCTGCCATGTGGGTTCTGGGAATCGAACCCGGGTTCACTGCAAGAGCAGTCAGTGCTCTTAACCACTGAGCCATCTCTCCAGCCCCAAGTATAAAAGTGATGTTTACAAACACATTGTCTCACCTAACTATAGCTACATAGAAACTTGTCATGATATCAAAATATATAGACCTCCTATTTCTGAAGGAAAATATCTCATCATAAATGCGTGTTTCTTTTTTTAAAAAAAATTAATGAGCTTTTGTATATCTTATATAACAGTTCTTAATTCAATTTAGATCCTCACCCCCATCCATGCCTCCACAGCCTTCACTGGACCTCATGTATTAAAATATCAAGGCTGAAATTAATGAAGTAGAAACAAACAAAGAAATAAACAGACATAAATACAAAAATACTAAGGAAATAAATTGGTTCTTCCTTTACAGCTCTTTTTACCAGATCTTTGCTTTGTATTTTTAATGTCATGATTATAATATGCTGTGGAAAAATTTTTTGGTAATGCATATTGGGGTTCTAAATGCCTCTTGTGTTTGAATGTGTTTCTTTCTCTAATTTGAGGGTTTCCATTGAGCAGATTCTCTATGCTTTAGTGTTGTTTCTCAGCTAAAGGAACGTGTAGGTTTGGCTCTTCCTTGTGTCCCAGTGGTCATGGACCTTGGGGTCATGATGCTTATTGATTTGTTTATGGTTATTTACCTTATCTTGATAATCTAATCTTTGTACTCTTTCTTTCTTTCCATTCTTTTTTTGTGATTGAGGCTTGGTGTTGCTTTTTGCTATCTTTTTTTCAAGTGTATAATTTTTATTGAATTTTTGTGCATTTCATACAAAACATCTTCAAGGTTGTTATAACCCCTCCCACTTCCACACCCACATAGACCCCCCTCCCCACAGCGTTCCATGCATTATATCTGTTAAGGCTTATCGAATCAAGTTTGTGTATCCAGATGTCCCTCAGTGCAAGTTCATCCACTGGGGTCTAGTCAGCCTATCTAGAGTCACTCCCTTAAAGAAGATCAACTATCTGTCATCCAGTAGTAATCAGCTGCCAATAGTTCTTTGACTAAGGATGGGGCCTACTGCCCATATCCCTAGTTCTATACTGGGTTTTTGTCTTATTGAATTTGCATGCTGGCACCAGTGCCATAAGTTCATATGGGCAAGTTCCCAGATGCATGGAAGACTGTATCCTTTTGGTCATGCACCAACCCTAGATCTTAAAGTCTTTTTGGACCTCTCTTCTGCAATCGTCCCTGAGCTATGGGTGGATGAGGTTTAATATAGGAGTCCTACCCAGGTACACACTCTCTGCAGTCTCTTATTCTCTAGACATTGGCCCATTGTGGCTTTCTGTGTGTATCACACTTTGTTGTATGAGGAAGCGTCACTGGTGAGAGTTGAGACGTGTGTTAGTATTCTCTCTACCCCCTGTTTTATTATGTTCCGTGAACTTTAGGAGTAGATATTCCACTGTAGATGTGTCATTTAGATCTGGGTATCTCTGAAACACATATTGTCCATGTGACCAGTTGTGGAACTCTGTCTGTAGCAAAAAGAAGATTTTCTGAAGAATGGTGAATAGTATACTTGTCTGAAGGCTTTATAACAAGAAACAAAGTGCCAGACAGGAGAAACCTCCCTTCCAGTTGTTGGTCAGTGTAGTCCAAGAGACTCCCAAGATTACACAGGCTATTGCCATAGGCCTTCTTTATCTCACAGAACTTGAAAGTAAGGCCCTATCAATGAAGTAAGACTTACTTCAGACACAGGACTTGGAACAATGTAGCTGGAAGTGACTTGGAAGCCTCCTCCATGAAGACTGGCCAGGTAGGCCTTTGTTGCATAAGAAAAATCTCCAACAAAACTAGTAATTAAACCAAGTCACAAAATCTGCACATATTCATAGAGTGGTTAAATAAACACCAAAATTGAAAAGTGCAGCCTAGTGTGGTCATTTTTGCAATATACTCTATTCAGCTACACAATTTCAAGGGAATATCTCTGGAAGCATCTATAGGGTAAGTAAGAACATGAGCACATAACTCTCACTTGGCTCAAATAACTCTTCTACAAAGTATTCCCAGAGCCAATTTCATGTCCTTGTTCCTCAGGCTATAAATGAATGGGTTTAACATGGGTGTAACCTCTAGAAATATTACTGAAGAAATTACATCCTTAATGTAGGAATTGTGTGAGGAAGGAAAAAAATCATTGCAGGAGTCCCATAATACAAAAACACCAAGAAGAGGTGTGAGCCACAGGTGGATATAACTTTGCAGAATTTCTTCATGGAGGGGGCCATTAGGACAGTAAAACTAATACACATATAAGAGGCCACAATAGTACCCAATTGCAGGAGAGTCAATATTCCACCCCTAGTGAAGATGGCTAGCTCATTTAGGGAGATATCTGAACAGGACAACTTCAGGAGTTCATTGAGATCACAGAAAAAGTGGGGGATAGTGTTGTCTGCATAGAAGGACAGGTGGAACATGAGGAAGGTATGCATCAGGGCTGGCAAACAAGAGAGGAACCAAGATCCAGCCACCAATAAGTCACACAGCTCCTCTCTCATGATGAACATGTAGTGCAGTGGGTGGCAGATGGCCACATACCTGTCATATGCCATCACTGCAAGAAGGAAATTCTCAACACGTGCAGAGAACAAGAAAAAAAAAACGCTTGAGAGATGCATCCCTCATAAGGGATGGACAGGTCTTGAGTATGTATGTTGCTGAGCATCTTTGGGACGGTGACAGATGTCAGTGAAGGCCAGGTGGCACAGGAAGAAGTACATGGGGGTGTGGAGGCGAGAGTCCACCCTGATGAGCAGGATGATGAGCAGGTTCCCCAGCACAGTGGTCAGGTTCACGGCCAGGAACAGGGTGAAGAAGATGCCCTGCTGCTCTGGCTGGATGGGGAGCCCCAGGAGGATGAACTCAGACACACTGCTCTGGTTCCCCCTCCTCATCTTCCTCTTCCTGCTGGGAAAGATGGAGAAGAAAATAACAGAAAGCTGAGGTCCTCACCAGGTAGACATAATATGCATGCATTTTTCCAGGGGACTGCATCCAAATTCTGACAAACTCCACACTTTGTAGTCTGAATCTCACATTGGGCTTATACTAAACAGACCGAGGACATTTCCAGTGATAGCAAGATGGTCTTTAAGAAAGGATGCAAATTTGTTCACTTATTCACACGTTTTCTAAACAGTGTTTTCAGCACTGGAAACAACAGATAATAAAATTCCTGTTGGAGCACACATTCTAGAATCATTTCATAGAATATTGAACAAGAGGTAGAGCCTTCCCACCAGGAGGCTGAGATGGGCCCTGGTTCAGAGATCTACTTCTTCAGTTTCCTGGGCCACTTTCCATGTGCCATTGATTGAGTTCCTTCTATAAAGCATAACAATGTTATCTACTTATAAAAATTTGTTGGAAATCTATGTTAATACAAGTAATGATCTTAGAGCAGACCCTTACATATGGACATATTTGGCCACGTTCATTACTACAGTAGGACAATTTCAGCAGAAAATCCATTATCAAACTCACGAACTCAGGCAAGCAGAAGAGTGAGGTGTGATTAGCCAGTCCCAGTTACAACACCAAAAAAATCACTAA